TTTTATTTATGTGATCATAAAAGCCATTTTAAACAAATTAAGGAACTAAAATTAATCAAAAAAGCTCAAAAGTTAATTTTTGGGAGTGTACTTTTCTAGTACAGCGGGCACTTCTGTGTTATTTTTAAAATATTACTTGACAAGGCATAACGTTTTTTTGCTTCCTGTACATTGCCATATTATAACCTCATGGCACAAAACACTTTTTAGCTGCTTACAGCCGCACTCAGAAACGTTCATTAAATTAGCTCTAATGATCGTTAAATTAGTTAATTAATGTTTCCTCTTAGAGTGGCATCACTCACTTTTTTTGTTCAGTTTGAAATCAAATATAAAATTAAGTACTTATATCATTTTGCGCGCAATGCCTCAAAAGTCGCAAAGGCTGAGTGAGCAGAGCACTGGCGTGCCATTCGGGAGATTCGAGTTCGAGTCCTAGGGCAGGAAAATTTTCTTTTTCTTATTTTTTATTTATTTTATTTTCTTGTTAAATTTAAAAAAACTAATTTTATTTAGTTTTTTCCTTTTTAAATCAAATTTTATTTTGGTTTATATAATTTATTGTTTTAAAAATGGAACTTTTTTATTTCATTTAAATTTTACAAACTGTTTGCTAAAAAAAAACCATGCCAATTCCGACATCTGTCTTTCAACTCATCTCAGTTCTTCGAAAAACAAAAGTCTTTATATTCCAACAACTATCTTGAAAGCTCTTTTCTGTATTTTGGATGACTAATTAAAAGATCTTTTAACGTTATTCTATTTATCGTAAACAAAACGTTTTCTAAAAACTAAACGAAATGAAAAAAAAAATATTTTTTTTTAACAAGAAAAACTAAAAATTTTAGAAAATTAAAGTAAAAAAGAAAAAAGTTTCTAAACATTAAATAAATTAAAAAATATTTGGTTTTTAAACAATAAAACTTAAAAATTAAAAGAAAAAATATTTATTAAAAAATAAATTCCGTTGCCGAGGATTGAAGTGGGGGTTCTGCCCCCACCAGTATTTGAAGTGGTTTCTTGTCCACTAACAATACAGTGCAAAATCTTTCTATTTTCTGAAAAAATATCATCAAATGTTTACTACTATTGCAAAGGTCGCTATAATACTTATTTATACACTTTCAAAAGTCTCCATCTTCTGATGAACTTAGAAAACTGCAAGAAAACCTGGTAGTTTCGGTGCCTAGTGGAAGGCGTCGTAAAAAAGAAGCAGACCAATCTTCATGGAAGAGCGAACGCGAAAAGCAAAAAAAAGATAGCTATGTAAAAGTTACTGTTTCAAAACTCACTATATTCAATTTTTATATATAAAACTAGCTGTACCCTGTGGCATATTTCTGTTATATGGACGATAAATTATAAAACGAAACAAAGCATATATTTCATATGTGTTTGGTTATGTAATAAGTACTCGTGTGCACACAATATTTTTGATCCATTGTTGCGGGATTTGCGTGGAAACGTTCAACCATTCGGGATATTGCTCGCAGGAGATTTTACGAAAACATTGTCTGTAGTTTCTCGATTAACACGAGAGATATATGCTTGCCTGAAATAGTCAACATTGCGACAAGACGAACATACATACACTGCAGCTGAAGTATTCGCGCGACAATAACTGGACATTGGGAACGCAAAGCTGCCAGTCAATGAGAGATTAAGACGAGTTTTATGGCCTGATAATTTTTGTAAATTAGAAACATCGAAAGGAGAACTGATCGAAAGAATGTTTCTTTATTAAGAAAATTAATTTTAGGAATCACAATTGGCTCAGTGAACGGGCTATTCTTGCTGCGAAGAATAAGGAGGCCTATCAACTAAATAATAGTGGTATTGACAACAGTCGTTGCTTGAGCTGATCAGCTCTTTTACTAGACTGCCAGACCACTTGCTCACTGTGGTGAGTACCACTAATGTTATTCAATCCAGCATTCAACGTGAGGAAATAGCATATACGTCGATAAACACCGTTGTGGAAAAAGACATACAACGAAATTTTTGAACTCGATTAATCTTCCAGGGAGACCGCACATACTGAAATTAAAAATAGGTTTGACAGTTATCATGTTGCAGAATATTAATCAGCGAAAACTCTGCAACGGAATGCGACTCGCAGTTAAGAAATTGATGAAGAACGTAATGTAAGAAAAGATTTTAACGTGGCCTTTAAAGGTGAAGAATTCCCATAATTCCATTTAATGATGACGATTCAATTTAAAAGATTTGAGTTCCCAATTCGATTGACATTCGGAATCACAATCAATAATGCTCCAGGTCGAACTTTGGAAAAGTATGGTTTAGATTTAGATGCGGATTGCTTCTGAGATGTTGCGTGTACTTGTGTCGGCAAACCAGATATCCTTGATATCTATGCAGAGAATGGAAAAATAACAA